ATTCTTAGTAAGGATTCTCCCGGCACCTTTACCTGGTGCAAGTTTACTGTAACAAGTTAAGGTGTTGGTTAGATATAATGTTGAGTTATAAGCATAGTTCGGTACTTATACTGTACAGTATATATTTAATATACATGGTATTCTTCCTGGATGGTTACAGCTTTGAACAGCCTTTTGATATTATTTACCAAATAGCTGACTACTTGATTAGTTAATAATTACTGGGTGTTGTGCCGGGTATACTTAAACGCTGCAATAATTTAAAAACGCAGCTGCTCTTTTAATAATGCAGCTTCAAAAATCTTTAAGACTATTACTAAAGTTGATGTATTTGTGGACGGGTTCTCTACCGCCAGAGCAAATTGTTTTATTTAAATACTGTATTTGGCCGATACTTTGTTTATAATCTGGCTTTGGTATAGATTATATAGTGACTTGACTGTTTTACCTGCATGATAAAAATTGACCTAAATTATAGCATTTCTAAATCTGGTGGCAGATTATCGTGAGAGTTTTGAATCTGGTTATTAACTGTGCATCACTAATGGCTGTTCTTCAATTACTGTACTAGATTAAGTGGATTAATGTGGTACTTTCATAGAGGATAAAACCTTCAGTTTAGGGGAATAAAATTATGTTATACAATACTGTATTAGGATAAATTAGTAGTGTGAAAATATTTTACTTGAAACCTTTTTATGGGTAATAACCAGACTTTACTTCCAGTAGGTTCAGGACCTTGTCATGAGAGGTGTGCACTGTGCTGTACTCACACATCTTGCCTCGCTTGTACTGCTGTACCACACATCTTGCCTCACTTGTACTGTTTTGCCACACACCTTGCCTCCAATATCAGGATGGCAAGTGATCCACAACACTACTAAAGGAAGCAGGTGCCAAGATACAGCCTGACCCAGCCTTCCTTCCACCCTCCTCTCTACCTCAGGTAAAGAATACAACAAGTCTAGTTGAAGTAAAATATACAAAAAAAAAATACAGTACATAAAAAATAGCCTCAGAATGTCACACTTACAAGGGAGTAAAGTGTACTTTATCTGCCTGTGTCAAAATGAACTTTCCAACACTTGGATTGAATTTCTCTGCTAGTTTATCCTTAAACCAAAGACAAAACAAATTGTTTGGGATATTCAATGACCATACTAGATTTCTGCAGCTATAAATTTCCAAGACAAAATAGAAAGTAAAGGAGAAATTAATTTAGGGCTGTTGGAGGAATATAAGGATTATGGACCAGAATTGATGTACAGTCATAGTCAAAAGTGTTGAACACTTGACAGTATTTGGCTTAAGTAGTTTAATCTCATTTTGTGGTCTGGTGTAAGTATTATGATTAAAGTATTAGTATATCC